TATTCTATTCTATTCTATTCTATTCTATTCTATTCTATTCTATTCTAAAAATGCAGAGAAGAGCAACCAGGATGATTACGGGACTGGAGGCTGAAACATACAATGAACGGTTGCAAGAACTGTGGATCAGGATTTCAGCAGTTTCCCCCAATTAAATCATGAGTCTCGAGCCAAACTTCCAAAACTTCAAAAGGATTTATTGGGAGTGAACATGCCGGCACTGCCTGGGTGTAGCCAACTCTGAGACACATCATTCATTGTCCCCCTTGACCTTGGTTTCCCCCACCTCACCCCTGGGTGTATCGTAATTCATATTTTCAATGGGACACATCCATAGCCAAGAGTCATCAATCATACTCTCCAGTTAGAATTTTGTGGCAAACTTCAGTCCCCTAGTTACTATCTTTGAAAACTATTTATGGAATGCACTTTTGATTTCCAAGCTGCCGCACTGCTTCCCTCCCATCCTCCTTTCTCTTGGCAACTCTAAAAATACCATAGAAATATTTTATGAGTTGACACCGGCCATGGCTAGTCTAGTAAAGAGAAGGACCAGGGGAGCCAGGATAGCAGTCTTCCAATATTTGAGGGGCTGCCACAGAGAGGAGGAAGTGGGTCAAGCTATTCTCCAAAGCACCCCGAAGGCCAGACAAGGAATAATGGATGGAAACTGATCAAGGAGAGATTCAACCTGGAAATAAGGAGAAACTTTCTGATGGAAGCGATGGAACAGAAGTTGCCTTAAGAAGTTGTGGGAGCTCCATCGCTGGAAGCTTTCAAGAAGAGACTGGACTTACCTTGGTCACAAATAATGTAGGGTCTCTTGCTTGGGTGGGTGGGGGGGTTGGACTAGATGACCTACAAGGTCCCTTCCAACTCTGTAAATCTGTAAACTAGACCCAGCACTTGGAATGGGTGTGACCAACACAGTATAACCAATTGGGAATTCATTCATTCCCACCGAAGTGGTACCTGTTTATCTACTCGCAGGCGCATGCTTTCAAAATGCTGGGTTAGCAGGAGCTGGAGGCAAAACAGGAACTCGCTCTTTTACACAGAGTTCGGGTCTCGAATCCAGCTCTCCAAACTCAACGTCCAGAACCGCTGAGTTCATCGCGCCCCCTTCCCCCAAACCCATGTATAAAATGGGGGCAATGCTCACTTAACAAGTGTCTCACTTATCCACAGAAACGTTCACCTCAGTTGCGGTCAAGGAACTACCCACAAGTGCACTGGTGTCTTTTGCACAACTACCTCAGATTGATAAAAGGTGCGCTCCTCTTTTTAGGTGCCGGATGGCTCTCTGGTGGCTTTGGTGTCCAAGCAAGTCACAGCTTACAACGCGATCAACAATTTCACCGTCTCGAGGACTTCCGCCAGCAAGTACGGTAAGGACTTTCCCACCAGGGCACGTGAGACAACCGAGGAGTCAAAAAGGCAGGGAGGACACGGACCACCAGCCTTTTGAAAATGGTTTAGTCCAGGAGTGGGGGACAATGGCCCTTTTATGACTTCTGGACTTCAACTCCCAGAATTTCCGAGCCAGAAATTTGGGAGTTGAAGCCCACGGGTTGTAAAGGGGGCCATGCGGGCTCAAGAATCCTGGGAGTTGAAGTCCATAAATTGTAAAGAAACCTTGCTGGTTTAGGAATTCTGGAAGTCCACCAGTCATATAAAAGGCCATGGTTCCCCCACCCCTGGTCTAGATGCTCAGAGGAAAGTAACAATCTGACAAGCTGTGAAAAACACAAATTACAGGCTAATCCCTGTAATAAAACGTGGCCAAAATAGTGGGAAATAATGTATAATGTGAAGTCCAGAACACAGTACATCAAATAACAAATAACAGAACAAAACAACAGGACTGGAAGAGGCTTTGGAAATCAGGCCAGTCTTTGAGCATCTCAATGCAGCCATTTTTAGACTAGCAACTCATTCCTTAATACAAGGATCCAGTGACTCTTAGGAGAACAATCCAATGAAGGGAAAAATGTACGTAGCTCAGGGTTGAAATGAGGGGGTTGGCCCTTGGTGCTCCCTGAGCCGGGTTGTTTTCTAGCAAACCTTTCATGACCCAACTAGGTAACATCATCAGTGCTACAAGGGTTTAGGGTTGGAGGAGAAGGAGGATGATAACAGCAACGACAACCACCACCACAACGGTACAATGGTGGGGTTTGGGTGCTCTCTGAAGTGGGATTCAGCCGGTACGTACCGGTTCAAGTGAACCGGTAGTTCCGGTAATCTATTAGCCCTGCCCACCGGCCCCTGCACTAGTCTGTCCTATATTCCCTTGGTTTGAAGCCCAGCTGATAGGCACCGCAGAGCGGATTGCCGCGCCTCAGCTGTTTTTACTCACCGGGGCTGCAGCAGAAGGTAAGTTTTAGAGCTGTTTTCCAACGAACGACGCGTTCCCCGAACCGGTTGTTACACCGGTTGAATCCCGCCACTGGCTTCGCTGTTTTCTTGCAGACCTTTCATGACCCGACTAAATAACATCATCAGTGCTAGAAGGGAGTGGGGTTGGAGGAGGAGGAGGAGGAGGAGGAGGAGGAGGAGGACTGCTCTCTGAGGTTCTTAATTTTCTTGCAGACATTTCATGACCCAACTAGGTAACATCATCAGTGCTAGAAGGGAGTGGGATTTGGGGAGTGGAGGAGAAGGAGAATGAGGAGGAGGAGGAAGAAGAGGAAGAAGAGGAAGAGGAGTATCAAGAGGAAGAGGAGGGCTGCAGGTTCCTTGGTTCTCTCTGAGCTTGGCTATTTTCTTGCAGCTGTTTTATGACCCAACATCATGAGTGCTAGAAAGGAGGGGGGTTGTGGAGAGGAGGAGGAGGAGGAGGAGGAGGAGGAGGAGGAGGAGGAGGAGGAGGAGGAGGGAGAAGAAAAGGGAGAGATAGAGTAGCAAGAGGAGGAGGAGGACTGTAGGGTCCTTGGTGCTCTCTGAGTTTGACTGTTTTCCTGGGAGACCTTTCATGACCCAACTAGGTAACATTATCAGTGCTACAAGAGAATGAGATTTTGGGGAGTGGAGGAGAAGGAGAAGGGGAGGAGGAGGAAGAAGAAAAGGAAGAGGATAACAAGAGGAAGAGAAGGATTGTGGGGTCCTTGGTGCTCTCTGAGCTTGGTTGTTTTCTTGCAGATGTTTTATGACCCAACTAGGTAACATCATGAGTGCTAGAAGGGAGGGGCTTGTGGAGAGGTAGAGGGAGAGGAGGAGGAGGAGGAGGAAGAGGAAGAAGAGGAAGAGATAGAGGAGTAACAAGAGGAAGAGGAGGACTGTAGGGTCCTTGGTGCACTCTGAGCTTGTTTGTTTACTTGCAGACATTTCATGACCCGACTAGATAACATTATCAGAGCTAGAAGAGAATGGGATTTGGGGAGTAGAGGAGAAGGAGAAGGGGAGGAGGAAGAAGAAGAAAAGGAAGAGGAGTAACAGGAGGAAGAGGAGGACTGTGGGGGTCCTTGGTGCTCTCTGAGCTTGGTTGTTTTCTTGCAGACGTTTCACGACCCAACTAGGTAACATCATCAGTGTTAGAAGGAAATGGGGCTTGGGAGGAGGAGGAGGAGGAGGAGGAGGAGGAGGAGGAAAAAAACTGTGGGGTCCTTGGTGCTCTCTGAGCTTGGTTGTTTTCTTGCAGACATTTCACGACCCAACTAGGGAACATCATCAGGGCTAGAAGGGAGTGGGCTTGCTCTCTGTGTATATACATCACAGGCCTCTTCTAGCCCTGATGATGTTACCTAGTTGGGTCATGAAACGTCTCCCAGAAGACAATCCAGCTCAGAGAGCCCCAAGGATTCCGTCGCAGTTTCGATTTTCTTTCTCCACATAAACCTTGGAAGAAAATCTTCGAGGGTTTGTGTCCCTTTGTGCTTTCAGAAAACATGATCCGATATACTGGGAGCCCAGACAGCTTGCGTTCCCGGACGCCCATGATCACGCCAGACCTAGAAAGCGGGGTCAAGATGTGGCATTTGGTGAAGAACCACGAACATGGCGATCAGAAAGAAGGGGACCGAGGGAGCAAGATGGTATCTGAAATCTACCTGACAAGGCTGCTAGCCACCAAGGTAGGTGAGGCTGGAGAGAAGCGAAAGGACCCCAAAAGGGAATGCGGGGGAATAGGGAAAAAAAAAAATGGAATTGTACCAAGAAAAGAGCTCAGGGTTGAATTGTGGGGTCCTCGGTGCTCTCTGAGGTTGGTGGTTTTCTTGCAGACGTTTCATCACCCAACTAGGTAACATCATCAGTGCTAGAAGGGAGTGAGGCCTTCTCGCTTTTTAT